CTATAAAATCCCTGATATGCTGGCACCACTTTTTAGGTTTATACATTTTTAAAATAATTACTCTAAGCTATTATTCTCCATTTACCTCTGAAAATCTGGGGTTTTGTCAGTATTGCTTTTAACCCCGAAATTATAAGGCAACAAAGTACACTGCTCAAAAAAATAAAGGGAACACTTAAACAGCGCATGATAAGTCCAATTAAATCAAATTTTTGTGAAGCACATTCAACTCTGTACAGAACAAAGTACTCAGTGCGAATATTTCATTGATTAAGATCGGGAGTTAGCGTGCGTTGTTTAAGTGTTCCCTTTATTTTTTTGAGCAGTGTATAATGATTATCCAGATGCCTGAATACAACTTAAGAACACTGTTCATACTGCGTTGACCCGTTCTCTGATTGGGTTAAAAGAATTATAGTCTGACTTTGTCTTGTTTCAGGACGAGAGGCAGAAAAGCTGTCCTACATCACGAAGTACCTGAAGGCAGTGGGAATGTTTCGAGATTATAATGATGCTGCTCAGGATCCAGATTTCACTCAGGTCAGGCTTTTTTGCTRCATTTAATTATTTTAGTTCATAAATGTTTCCCAATAATAATTTTAAAGTTTTTAACTTTCAATAAAAGTTTTAACCGGCATGATTCATAGCGATCAGGCAGATTTATAGTAAAAGCAGTAAARTAAACGTGTCTGTTTTCTCACTCAGATCGTAGAGTTGGATCTCAGCTCTGTGGTTCCCTGCTGCAGCGGACCCAAAAGACCACATGACAGAATTCCTGTTTGTGACATGAAAAAAGACTTTGAAATGTGTCTGGGAGCAAAGGTGGGTTGTAGCAGGGCTACATTTTAACTGGATGTCTACTTTAATCAAGTTAAATGCAAAGGCTTTATGTTTCCTTCTCACAAAAAGGAAAAATCCTTGTCAGAAGTGTAAACCAGCAAATACAGTTTCAGTTCCAGTAAAACTTCTCTGTGAAGGTGTTCTTTCAGCTCTTTATTCTGTCTGAAACCTCACATTCATGAAACTGAACCATTTCATTTAACAACCAAAAGTCTGCTCATGTAAAACTAAAACTAAATAAATGAATAAGATACAGAAATTACATCCATCCATTATTTATTTATTCCTTCATTTAACCAGGAAATCCCCAGTGAGATTAAAGACCTTTTTCAAGGGAGTTCTGGCCATGAGGCAGCAAAGGTTTACATTTACATAYAGTTACACAATTAAAATACCATACAAACAATAAGAAATGGGACAAAGAGGAAGAAGTTATTTTAAAGCAAAGAGTAAGAATCAACACGTCTCTGTGTGATTAGATCMCAGATGTAAGATGGTAACAACCCAAGAATGGTCTTATAAATAAAAGTTTACCAAGGTCCCAACCTCCTGATGGACAAAGGCCATCCCACTCGASTGTACAGATCACAGTGATGGGTCGAGGCTTTACAATCCAGAACAAACCTCAGAGACTCATGATAGACAGCATCAATTGTTTGTAAGATATTGTGCTGAGGCATTCATATATAACAAGTCTCCATAATCTAAAATAGAAAAAAATGTCACTGTGACAAGCTGCTTTTTAACCTTAAAAGAACTATTTATTTTATTTTGAAGTAAAGAAGCCCAGTTTGAGGCCTCCGTTTTCAGTTGTCCCCCTCCTACAGCGCTGCCATTGGCAGTATCACTCCACCCACTGTTAACAATAGGTATTAATTAGGTGTAAACAATAGCCATGTGATGTGAGTATCAGTCACCTGGAGGCAGGACTTAAAAGCCTGAATTTTGCCTGAAACTCTCAGACTGAAGAAGTCTCTTGGAGGAGAGACGAAACGTTTCATTAAAGAAGAACCCGTCCAGAAGACCTATACAATTTTTTTCTTTTTGATTTTTTACCTGGATTACTGAGATGCATCAGGACAAGCCCAGTTTGAGTTTAAGTTTTTTCACCATGTGTCCCATGTCTGGGTGATGGACATTCAGCTCCTTCTCTGTCCATATGACTGATCTAAAACATACTTTTTTCCAAAACTGCTCTAAAATAAAAATTAAATGAAGTCGTACTCGGATAATAATCAGAAATCATAGCTGCAGAGAAAAACRACATTGAAACCATTTTGTAATTTAAACCAATGCCTGCAAACGTTTCATTACTGTTGCTGTTTTTAGGAAATGCATATAATTCTTGACATAATCAGCAAACAGCCAAGTCGAGATGTTCAGTTTTAATATGAACCAGCTGATTGGATGTTTTCAAAGAGTGGGAAGTTGATATTTTGTTTCAGTTGTGCACAGCTTCATAAAATATAGCTTGAATTTTGTTTTTTTCTGTGACCTTAGCAAGGGTTTAAGGGTTTTCAGGTGTCCCCTGAACGCCACAGYGCTGTGATCCCCTTCAACTTCGGTGGGAAGGAGTACCTGCTGAGTCATGGCTCAGTGGTGATCGCTGCAATCACCAGCTGCACCAACACCAGCAACCCCTCCGTCATGCTGGGAGCAGGTAGATTTACTTTGTTGTTACTGCTAAATATTACATATTTGATTGTAACTCAGAGTCTAATAAATGACTTCTTTGATTCCAGGACTCCTTGCTAAGAAAGCAATAGAAAGTGGTTTGAGTGTGAAGCCATACATAAAGACGAGTCTGTCACCAGGCAGTGGAGTGGTAACCTACTACCTGAAAGAGAGTGGAGTTATGGATTACCTGTCTCAGCTGGGGTGAGCTGCTCATACCTCTGTTGCATCTGAAATCTGACTTTATTCTTCAAAACTAAAAGAGAACGGTAGGGCTGCACAGTATATCGGAAATGTATCGTCGTCACGATAAAAGCGATGCAATTGCAAAAAACTACATAAACTGAAATAAATGGTTGACTCAAAAGTTAGCATTTTTATGCGTTTTGTCACTCAGATGGAAGTTTGAAGTATTTCACCAATCAAATGGAGCCCTTCATGCATTTGGTCTATTGGACCAAATACATCGACACTGGACTCTTCGTGTTTTTGAAAAATTCATGCTAGAATTGAAATAATTAGTTTATTTATTTATTTAT